CGATGTAGAAGTTGCTGTTTGTGAAGCATTTGGTGCTGTTGTTGCTGATGGTGAAACAACATTTAAGGCTTGAATTTCATCATCATCATCGTCATTATCAATTTCTGTTTCAGTTGCATTTTCATAAGGTAAATTTTTATTTGAGCAGAGAGATTTCTGTAATTTGTTAATTTTACGATTAATTATATTAAGAAGTCTGTTTGTTGTTTCTTCAAGAATTTTTTCCATTTTGAAAGTGAGAATATTTAGTATTTCATCAATCATTGTGTTATGTGATATATCATGTTGCCGTATATAAACATTTGTTAAAGGTGGAAATTCATCATTATTGTTCAAAATAGGAACTGTTGTAGTTCTTGTTTGTTTGGTTGTGGTAGAATATTGATTAATCGTTTTATGAATTCTTCTTTCTTGCTCACGATAAGTTGGACAATCAGATAAATTCGCTAGGTGTTCACCTATGCAGTTGCAACATTTTGGACTAACTTGAGTATTAGGACATTGATCATAATGATGATTTTCACCACATCGAGCACATAGTTGTTGTTTTGTTTTACAGAATTTTGCTACATGGTTGTATTTAAGGCATAAATAACATTGAACCGGTTTACTATTTTGAATTGCTGGTTTAGCAGTAAAATGCATTGAATCAATTTGTAATCCTGTTTGAACAAATGTATTTCTATTTTGTGGATCATTAAAAGTAATTTTAATTGTTTGAGTTGGATAGTTTTTTTCTTTACTTGTTAAACGAATAACATTTTCTACATTAAATCCATTTTCTTTTAATGAATCAGCTATTCAGTTTTCAGGAATTTCCAAGTCAACTCTCTTGACAAAAGCAACTTTTTCTGTATCTTTTATTTTTTGTATTGATCTTGGAACAAATATTTTTGCTGCTGAATGGTCATTATCAGCAAGAACTTTAGTAAAATCATTTAATACTTTATTAAATGAGTACACATTCGATACAAAAATTGTGAAAATTCCTGAACGAGATAATTAAATATCATAAATTTTAACTTCCGTAAAATTTTGTTTTATCATATCATTTAATTTAAGCTTATGTACTTTCACTCCCTCTAGCATTAGAGGTGCGATTGGGAAATTTGATTAGTTTGTATATGATGGTGACGAATTTTTTATTATTTGAGTATCATTAGTTGATGGCTGCTGTTGTTGTCGTGTCATAATTAGATTATCACGACTTTGACCACGTTTAATAGTACCACCTCCTCCTTTTTTTGGAGGCATTGTAATCGAAAAGTAACAATTAATTGCACTTAAACGAACGGTATATATGTAATAAATGAACAAAAATCTTGAAATACGTTTTTCTAATAGTACCTAACTATTAAGCTATTTTTGGAGCTGTAACAGCTATTTTAATAAGAGAAGATATTTTTTGAATGATATCTTATTTTAAAGGTACTTTGAGACTTTAATACCCTTGGAAAGAAAAAATCTCAAAAAGATCTCAGAAAGATCTTTTTCCTAGTACTTCCCGGTTTGTAAGGTATTTGTGGATCTTCTATTTTTGCGGAAGGGTTCTATAGGGCCGTATACGATGATATTACGACCGTATACGCTGACGTATACGGCCGTGTGCGCCTTAAATGGTTTCGTGTCACGGCGCAAATACGGTCGTTTACTGTTGTTGTATTGCGCCGTTTACGGCACGGCGAAATACGGCCGCAATACAGTCCATACCAAAAGGTCGAAGATACGGCCGTGTACGACCGTATTTTCGCAGTATACGGCAGTATACTGCGTCGTAAACGGCCGTATACGGTCATTTCTGGCCGTCATAAAGCTCGATCTGGGTTGAGATCACGTGTGTGACCATTACTACTACCATTTTTACATTAATTAAAACCATTTACTTGTGTAACCATAGCATTATCAGTTAATATCTTAACCATATCTTTGACATCATAACTATCTCCATTAACATATCCAATATAACCTATTTTCGATGCTTTTTATAATTCAAATGTGCTGATAATAACTGCAACATGTAATAATACTTTTAGTAGTTCATCTGAAAATGACTTTGAAATAAAGTCGAAAATTCATGAATTTCTACAATCGATATATTTTTCGTCATTTCTAATAAATGGAAAAATACATTATGTCGTTTTACTGTCTATTTTACTCCATTTTATTTATTTTCTTTGAATTAAAATTATCTAATGATGAAATTGTTTTAGTTTTGTCTAAAGATGTGAGTGTCAGTAAACAGAGAACAAAAAACCAAAGACAAACCGAAAACTTAGTCTTATGAGATAAGTTCCCGAAGTGATCAATCTGCTATTTGAGAAACTTCTTTTATTTCCTCTTTTTAAATGTACGATATCGAAACATATAATAAAAATTGATGAAAAATGAAACAATCATACTCAAATACATCTTACAATTAAATTTTAAAGTTTAAAGTTTATTAGAATCTATCTTTATTAAATACACACGACAAAGAAAAGATTGTTTACTATCATTGAAAGATGCTCTTAAAATGATATTCTAAATTGACTCAAATGATCATGTGAAGGAATCATGAAAAATTTTAAATAAACCTTTAAAATTGTACTTATCTAAGATAATTATCAAAGAATTTATTCTATAATATGATTAGTTTATTGAAATAGTTTTTAATTAGCATACATCAGTTGGTGGTCGATATTGTTAAAAAAAAAACATAAACTTAATTATTAATTTTTATGGATATCTGACAACCTTATTTATATTTAATTACAGTGATTTCTTCAGTTCCTCTTTGTTATTTTTTATTTCACTATACGACACGAACAAAACATAATAATGATGATGAATTCGAAACAAATTGATTTTACATATCTGCAACTCTTGAGTTTAAACATTAAAGCTTACCATTTTAATAAATAGATATTCAATGATATCTTTCAATACTTATTAGATCGTATCTATGAATCTATCTTACTCAAATGGCTATACTCATTTTGTCTGATATTCCATATATGATCTTTTGCGATATAATTATAATAGTCACAGTAATGATCTTCTGTATCAGTTTTTACATCAGAACTAAAGCCAGGGTCACAGCCATTCTCAATGTTCTATGGTTAAATTGCTATGCAAACAAAGTATTTTTCTCAAAATCTTATCATAGCAAGGTAGAATATTACTACAAAAAAATTTAATATCAATGATTGGAGGAAATTATATTTCTGTAAGAATTTTATTGATTATTTCTTTTGAAATATATCAGAGAACTTTATTTTTAAAAAGAATTGAAAAACTTTTCTTGCATTTATTTGACTTATCGAATTACTAGTAGTATGATTGACTAAACTAGTTCAATTTATATAGAACCATATTTTGTCGATTCTTTCTCATCAGTGTGTCTGATTAGTAATTTTGTTTTTATTATCTTTATCCTTTGAGAAGAATTAAAAAAATGTTAATACATAACTTATTTTACTCACAAATGTATTATCATTTCGAATAACATAGAACTGGCTACAGTTATTCGATCATAACAATTGTAGAATACATTATTTTAGGTATTAATTTGTAACTATGATAATGTATTTCATCTATAGCATTAAGTAAGAGTATGATGAAAATATTCATTAAGAATGAACAGTCATGAATGTTTAATTTTTATTAAATTAGACATAAAAAAATAAAGGTGAATAAGCGATATTTACTATTAACACACAATAGACATATCAATCTGATAAACAACTTGTTAAATAAACCATGAGATGAAATATTAGTATACACACAACAGTAGATCAAAATATAAAAAATGATGAATGTATTGATAATTTTTTATAGGGTGTTCAGAAAGTCATTAAAGTTAGGAAAATTTGAATATCTCCATTACTGCTCGACCAAACGAGCTCATTTTTTTACCAAGGATAGAGGCATGTTCATACTCCAAATACATACGGACAAGGATACTGAGAATCTTTGTTTAGTATCACTATTGACCTCAACAAGAAAATTTTATTTTTTCACAGACAGGAAAAAAACAATATACTTAACAAAGATTCTCACTAACCTTGTCAGTATGGATTTGGAATGTGAATATGCCTCTATTCTTGGTAAAAATATCAGCTGGTTTGCTTGAGTCGTAATAAATATATTCAATTTTCTTTTTAATAAAGTGTCTTTTGCACTATCTTGTATACTGTTTTTTCCTACCTGTGAAACAGTAAAATTTTCTTGTTGAGTTCAATAGGAATACTTAACAAAGATTCTCAATACCCTTGTCTGTATGGATTTGAATTGTGAACATGCCTCTATCCTTGGTAAAAGAAAAATGAGCTCGTTTGGTCGAGCGGTAATGTAGATATTCAAATTTTCCTAACTCTAATGACTTTCTGGACACCCTATATCCTTAAAAACTTGACAGTATTTCGATGAGTTTAGAATGTTTATATATATTTTCTCATAGTGCCATTTACTAAGTTAATTCAAAAAAGTGATTTGAATCGATATTAACATTTGTCTTATTTTTAATCTTAGAAATTATAGGAACTACATGAAAAATGGCTAGTTGAAAAAGTTAAAATACCAATTAAAAGAGGATTTCATTCACTAATAAAAATCATGAGTGTGCCTCATTAAAGTCGCTTATATGTTTGATATATTAAGTTTAATTATTAAGTAATCTCTTCCTGTTAATGAGTGTTATATTAAATTCAAGTTTTGGTGTATTAGAATATTAATTATATTTAACTAATTAATTTTATTTTTATCGAATAATTAACTTTTAGTTTATAATAAAAATAATAATAATTGAAAACGTTTCGAAGATATCTATCCCCTTCTTCAGTTCATGTTACTTTTGGCGTTATGTTTTTTATTATTTACAATACGTATCTGCCTATTCTTTTTTTCTTATTCTATTTTCTATAATAGTGGAACGGAATGACAGGACGATAATACTAGTCGATAAAACTATGTAATTTCATCGTCTGTTCCACTATTACCGTCCTGTCCTCCTGTGCCATCTATTAGTTTTTGTGCTAATTATTGTTTGTATTTGATCTTCTTTTTGATTGGTTCCGAATACTTGTGTATGATTGGTAGCCATAATTGTTCAATATCATCCTGTTTATTTATTGAATTGTATATGGTTGAGTACATAGCTTCTTTCAGTCGTCTTCTCTTCCAGTCTGTTTCTTTTTCAACTGTTATTGCTTTTGAGGTATTGAATTTACATTTTCCTTTATTCTTTTGAATGTGTTGTACTATTTCTGAGTTGAATCGTTTTTCATTTTTGTTGATAAGTTGTTCGTGTTGCTTTATTCTTTGGTTTAATCCAACTTTTGTTTCTTCAACATATGTCGCTTCGCAATTGCAATTCATTTGGTATATGACTGAATTTGTTGTCGGTGTTGTTTGTAAATTCAGGTATGATTGTAATTTCTTTGGGTATGAAAACCATAGTTGGATTTTTAGTTTCTTTAATGTTCTTTTTAGAACTTCAATTTCAGGTGTATATGGCAATGTAATGTAGTATTTAATTTCTTCTTTTTTTATTTTGTATGGTTGCTGTTTGATTGGTCATTTTTGACTCTGTTGTCTTTATTAAAGTATGGATTTCATTAATGGGATAATTAGAATTTTGGAGAATTTCAGTAAGTTTTTTCAAATCTTCCTTTTGCTGTGTGTTATTTTGTGTGGTCCTTACAATTCTAGATACCATATTTCGTACAATATTTCTTTTGATTGATTTTTGGTGACAAGATTTATAATTCAACAATTTGTTAGCAGCGGTTTGTTTTATGAATCACCTAACATCTATTTTGTTTTCATTTATGTTTTTAGTTAATGTGGTGTCCAGAAAATTCATTTTTTTATTACATTCGAATTCAGTGGTGAATTTGATATTACTTTTGATTTTATTCAAGTTGTTAACATATTCATTTAATTCGTTGTGGTTCATTTTTGTTATTATTAATATGTTATCCATGTATCTGAATAGTTTTCGTTTAATATTGATTTTATTTAGATATTTTGTTATATAGTCGTCAAGGTATAAATCCGCTAATATTGGTGATAAGCAATTACCCACTGGTAAGCCATGTTTTGCTTGTAATATTTATTTTTAAATTCAATAGAATTGTTGTTTAATGATAAAAGGAGTAGTTTTTCCAAAATCTGTTTTGTTAATGATGACTCCTTAAATGTTGTTGATTTTTCAATTTTCTTTATTGCTATATCAATAGCTCTCGTTATTGGTATATTAGTAAACATATCTTCTA